CTTCTACGGAAGTCTTATTAGGGATAAAGATGTCTTCTTGTTTTCTTGCTTTTCTTTCTATCCCAGTACCTACTGTGTCTATGCAGTCTCTGATCTCCTCCAAAGTTGGGGTAATTTTAGCGGTTCCAAATTGAAACACCATTCGTTGGCTATCCCAATATCCCGTGAGGACCTCAACCAGTTTTAATCAACCGTTCATGTTGATCAATTTTGTCAGAGCACCCACGTATTTGTTAAGGGTTCTTCTATGATCCCCATCGAGATTATTATACCACATTGTGAGTTGAGGTGGCGCTGCTATGACCATGTCAAACTTTGGAAAACGACCCATATCTACAAAACAGAAACTAGTTAGGTTTACACACCCCGAATTGATTTTCCCACGTACATCATTCAAATGTCAAATAAAATGATGTGTCATTAGGTAGGAGACCTTAGACACAATTTTGACGATTTTCTACTAAATGGACTTAATACAGCTTAGGGAAGTTGTCTTAGGCTAATACTTAATTTTGGTTTCGCTCTAGCTTAGGCTTTCTAGAATAGTTTTCAAGTTGATGGTTACCCGAGTCGGACAAACATCGGGGTGAAGCTACCAAACGACGTCGGGTGATCGTATTCCGACTATTCGTTTGATACTTCCAAATGAAATTCTTGTGTATTTCTTAAGAAAGTTGTGGAAATCCACATAACTTTCATTTTCTAAATGCAAACTATTTGTCAATTGGCGAAAAGATGCCATGAAAAAGTGCAATAATTATAACTAAGATAAAATAAACAAATAAGCAATTAAACCACATAGCTAAAATAGATTTAGTTTTAAGGTTAGAATCCTCTGTTGTCCCCACCAGAGTCGTCATTTCTATTTTATACCCAAAAAGGGTTTTTCGGGAAAATATTTGTTTTTTTGTAAATTTCTGACCTTTTTAGAGTCGTCACTTAATTTTTAAAGAAAAATCCATAAAATTATGTTTTCAAAGACTTAAACAAAAAAATCGTTTTTTGAATATATTTAAAAGGGTTCTGAGATTCCTATTAACGTCTTAGAAAGGTTTTGAAAACGCCTAAGACGTTTGCTAACTTGAGGTTTTCCGACAACTAACTATTTTGACTAGAACTTAAAATTGGGATAAAGATATTTCTTAGAGTTGTTTGAAAATGGATGCCAAAAATCATTTAAGATTGTTTTGTAAGTGAAAACTATTTATCTAAGTGAATTTTAATTTGTAAAATCCTTTAAAAATATTTACTTGATTTGATCGAGTCGTTAAAACTAAAGTGGAGTTTTGCGGGGATTCAGATTCTTCTAACTTTAAACTAGCGACAAACAAAACAACAAATAATAAAAAAAAAAACAAGTAAAGAGGAGAAGGAGAGAAATTTGAGTCCAAATCCGGATTCCATTTGCCTTGACCAGAATTTTGGACCCACCTGTTTTGGGTTTTTGACCCATTTGACTTTTTGGATTTTTGACCCATTTCTTCCGTACCTGTCCTAAACTAAGCAAATAATTAATACAAAATAAATACAAAAAATAAACTACAATGTCTTAAGCCCGAAAATGGCAAAATACAAAATAATACTAAATTGGATCTTCTAATCCAACTTCTTCGGCTTTCTTTAATCTTCATGCTAGTTCAACTTCAACAGATGCCCATCGAATTTTATGGATTGACTCGAAAAGACGAAATTAAACCTTTATGGTTTTCTCAAAATGCAGGAAGGAAGGAGTTCTCAATGAACTCGGTATATTTCACATTAAAAAATGCATAAACAAGAGTTAGCATCTTATTGTAGCATTAACAAAAGTGATTATAAATTGACTACTCCAGCTTGAACAAATTTCCAAAAAAATAATGAATCTAAGATGTTCCAGCAAACACGACCTTATCACGTTACTCAACAGACACGAAAGATAATGTAACCACACGAGTAATAAATTTAAATTTCTTTCCTGAAGCAAAAATAAGATTAAAACATCTTAGATTGAAAAGGTTGTTAATCATTTACTTCATGGACAACAATCAACTTAAAATAAAGGCAACAACCCATACACATGCAGAATAAGTCTAAAATCTATAACAATATTAGAGGAAATGGATCATTGTAGAAGCTTAAAATTTTTTATAAAAAAAACAAGTAATACAATGAAGTGAGTTTGCCAAAAGTAAACCAATTATTGAAACAGTGAAGTAAAAGTATTAGATTGAGATACTTGATACAAAACGTCATTCGATACACATTAATGAGAATTCTCTAAACTGAACCCATGAATATGACTTAAGAATAGATTCACAACATCACTTCAAAACATGCTGGAAACGAGCCCCTAAACTAGCATAACCGCAAAGAAAATTTAACGCAATAGCTAAAAAACATACATAAAGGAAGGAACAATCTCACTCCTATACCAAAGTAAACAGTCAATTAATTTCAAAACATCTACGAAATAAAGGGACTAGACTAGATCACAGGTTTAAATTCGATCAAATTAGAGTCGATTCGAAACAAATATTATCGACACTAAGCAAATTGAAAACTACTCTACGTGCATCAGTCCATTCCAGCTTGAACGAGTGACTCGAGTAAGAAGAGAACTGAGTGAAGATTTGAGACAAGATAACACGCAAAAGAAATTAGACCTTAAACAAACAAGAAAACAAAATATAAACAACTCATTAGTTTTAAGCAAAAGAAACGACCAGCTACAAGACACATTGAACGACCATGGAATTCGATAAAAAAAAGACAGAATACTTTGAGGCAAACAAGACTTATTAAGACGCCAAAACTCGACCTGACAAAGAGCATAACTAAAGATAACAACAATATAGCGAAATAGCAAAGGCAAAAATAATAATGTGAAGGGAAGAAGTGTTACCTTTCTACGGGCAGCGAACTAAGACAAGACGAGCTCGAGCAGAACTTCCACCACCACAATGTAAGTTCCGAGAACTCTGGTGAGGTTTTGAGAAAAAGAACCGAAGGAATATCACCTCGAACCTTCACCATCGCAGAACCTACTCCCAAAATAGTTCCGTATATTGACTTCGATTCTTATCTTCTATCTCTCAGCTAAGCTATTCTTTCCCATAGTAAAAAATCTTTTTTCTCAACTTTTTCCACTGTTCTTTTAAAAAAAACAGACCAAACCCAAATGAAGGTAAAAGAAGGTTTATATAGAAAGAGATATGATCTAAACATAAGGAGGGAAAAGGGAATGGGTTTTGAATTTGAAATTTGGATTCCCACTCTTAGGATAAGGTTGGACAACCATCAGTCGTACCAATTCCAACAGAAGAGGAGTGAGGGCCGTCCAATTTTGAGAAAAGGACGAAGAAGGAGTAAGATCGAGACACCCGGTTCTTCAAGGACGAGGACAACTTGGTTTGCTACAAATCTCGTACAAATTGGAGGAAGACGACAACCGTTATGTGATGGATGGGTTCACTATGAGGAAGAAAAAGAAGTGGGGCGGGTCGGCCAGATACTGTGTCTGGGTCTTTTGGTTTTGAATGGGTTGGGTATAAATAGTTGGGTCGGGTCACTGGGACAATTAGACAGATTGAATTGGTATGCTAAGAAACTTAAGGATTTAAAAAGGGATTGAGGACTAAATAACTTGGGTTTGAAGTAGTGGGCTGTTGGATAAAAAATATCGTAGGAGCCCAAATTTTTGGTCTTTTGTGCAGCCAAATGGATTGTTGATTTAATATAATTGGAACTTATTATTGAAATTGGCGAAATATAGGTAGGACGAGCTCTTAATATAATTCATGAACGAGTTTCTTAATCTTGACGAGATAAAAATAATTAATTTAGTCAAATAATTTAAAGTCGAATTATTATTAAACAATTAAACTAATTGACCAAATATTTATCAAAAACTTTTGAAACGGTTTTCCAATATTTTATGAAATAAATTAACTACATGAAAACATATAATATATATATATCACTTCAAAACTTATAAAAATCAACTAAAGCTACTTTAAAATGATTTGAAAAATATGGAGTCTTGTAAAATCGATTATTTTCTTTCGTGTGAAATTTAAGAAACTCGTGAATTAACCTTATCGGGAGAGGGGGGGTCAAAATTTGATGTCAACACTTTCAACTATGCCACCTATATTTTAAAGCGAAATTTGGCAAATAATAAAAAGAGGTGAATTTGGAATCTCATATGATCTCAATGACTTATATATTTATCGTCAAGATGTAAATATGTGTCGCACATTGATGCGATGTTCACAGGAAGAACACAAGTCTCTTCTATTGACCATGATGTTGGCACGTGATTAAGTTTAGATTAATTTATTGAATTTTAAGTAATTTTTAATTTTATAAACACATGAATATTTTAATTTGACAATTACTTACTATGCATTTTAAGCTACGAATTATTTGAATTATTTGTTTTGTTACGAAGATTTATAGCATATATTATCGATATTATTATCAGTATAATCTAAGTTATGAATCAAGTAATATACATATTTATACATCTACAGTGTTGTAAGTTGATATATATGGATAATCGATTTAACAAATCTGTGAACGAATTAAAATTTATAGTTAAAGATTTAGAATTACAATTGGTGAACGAATAAATAGATTAATTAGTTAATTTATAAAAAGCAATATTTTCTCACCTTTTCATCATTTTTTTTAAAATTTCTTAATTAATACGGTACATGATAATTTTTAGAATTAAATATAATTTTTTTAATTTTATCAACTTTAAATTATTTCAATTATAATTGATGATACAATATGTTATTTTCATATGACATAAAAAAATATGCATGATTGACGGATAATTTTGTTTATTTTATTTATAATTATTGATAAATTCAATATTTGAAATGATTACCGATATTTTAATAAATTATTTAATTACAATACAATTCAATCAAATATTGTAACTACAATACGGTACAAACAATGACTAACATCCAAACAAAATGTTACACTATGTAATTATGATGCCCCAAGTCAATTTTTTTAAAAACGATTGACAACTTTGTTCCAAAGAAATCGTTGTTTCTTGTGACCCCTTAACATTAGTCTCCCATCTAACTATACTACCTCCCCTGCAAGAGAGGGCAACCCAACCCATCTCCCACTCGTCCAAAACACGCACCACCATTACAGCTCTTTGCTTCACTTGTAAGTTTGCGTTACATATGCTTATGATCCCATTAATTTCTCTACTTACCTGTAGATCTGTAATTTAATTTTGTGTTTATTGGATTTGGGTTGTTGGGATTTCACGGTCTGTGTTTTTTGTAATAGGAAAGTATGAGTATGAATATGTATACGGGCTTCACCAGGCTTTGTAAGGGTCTTGCGGTTGTGCTTGTTGGCGGTCACATTGTTGTTCAGATTCTTCCTTCTGCTCTTTCTTATCTTGCTCTCATACCTGCCAAGTACTCCTTCTATCTCCTCTTAAATTTAATATTTGATTTTGCTTGTCCAATCACCCGATTTTACAATCGGAATTAGATATGATAATGTAGTTTCTCTATCTGTAAATGCTTCACTTGAATCTCAACTTCATGGATCATGTGCTGATCTCTTTGATACATGTATCTGTCCTCATTGGAAGAAAAAAAGTTTATATTGAAATGCTAGATAAAGACTTGCTATGAAATTAATGAATATATCTTTAAGAAAAAGAGAATTTTGGACTTAGTATAGGGTGCTCCTTGTGGTTCTTCACTGAATGTTCCAATTTCAAGGCAGCTTTCTTGTACATGAGTTCCTGAGTATAGGCTCAATTCATGGACTACAGACGCAGATCTAGGATTTAAATTTTATGGGTTCAATCTTTAAGGTTCTTAGTATTGAACTCTTTGTATTTGTAAAACTATTGGTTCAAACTTACTACTATTGCGATTTTAGTGAACATAAATTTATATTTCGTGTTAAAAGATTCGGTACAAATGAAGCATTTTGCTTCTGTCACTAATGTATGACCCCTCAAACTTGCCTCATTATTTCATTTAGACACTTGAATGGTGTAACTCTAGTATCTGTGATGGAAGGTCCGACTATATGTTAGATTTCAAGCTGAAAGCCTTAAAAGAGAATCTTAAAGTTTGGAGCAAGGCAATTTAGGGCTACAAAAGCAGAGTATTCTTAACCAAATAGCAGCCCTAGAAGAGATTCAAGATCAAAGATGCTTAACTGATGATGAGAACTACCTGAAGGCTACGCTAGAGGTAGAATTTGAGTATATTGCTAAAAAAGTGGAAGTTACATAGAGAAAAAAATCCAGGGTATTATGGCTCAAAAAAGGGGATAGACATACAAAGTTCTTTCATAGATCTGCTAACAAACAGAGAAGTGATAACAACATTGTATGTCTGTAGGTTAATGGGGAAAAGTTAGCAGATCCAGAGGACATCAATTGAGAAATGGTCAACTTATACCAGGATCTATACTCTGAATAGAGGAATGCAGACCTTAATTTAATTTTAGAGAAGGATAACTTAGTAGTAAAGAAGAAAACCAAATGCTACTGTGCCAATTTGGGGAACAAGAAGTGAAAGATAGTGTGATGGCATGTGCTGGTGACAGATCTCCTGGACCAGATGGCTACACACTGGTCTTCGTCATTCATTGTTGGGAGGTAGTGAAGAATGAGGTGTGGGCTGCTATACAAAGTTTTGATGATCAGTGCATTTTTCGTGAAGAGCTTCGATGCTACCTTTATAGCATTGGTCCTCAGAATGTGGGAGCAAAAGAGCTTAAGGATTTCACCCTATCAGATTGACAAGATGCATCTATAAAATCATCTCAAAGCTATTGACTGAGAGGCTTAAGAGAGTGGTATTTAAGCTGGTTAATCCTCAATAGATGGCTTTTATCGAGGGCAAACAGACTATGGTTGCTATTTGTAGCAAATGAATGTGTGGGCACAAGGGTCAGAGATGGGACTATTGGAGTTCTATGCAACCTAGACATCAAGAAGGCATATATGATTACCTCAACTTGGTCTACATATGGAAGACTCTGGAAAAAAAGGGATTGGTGGGAGGTGAATAGAATGGATCAAAATCTGCACCAGCACAATTTAATTATCAGTTAATGATTCTCCAACTGGTTTCTTCTTCTCTGGAAGAGGATTAAGACAAGGCGACCTTTTTTATCTCCTTTCTTATTCATTATAGCCATGGAGGATTTGGCTGACATGCTTAAAACAACGCAGTTTACCAACTGGATCTGAGTTTGAAATGAGTAGTCTGTCCAACGTATGTGGTAGATTTTTATTTTTGATGACAAGGGAAACCACAGCCGCTACCCTTTGGGTGCGCATAGGTTAAAAGCCCCGCTTCTATGCGATAGCTTGCAAACTGGGGGGTAGAATTGTGGAGTTATCAATAGTCTATTTGAGTATGCCATTAGGGCAGAAAGCAAATTTAAATCTGCATGGAACTCAGTGTTGGAAAAGTGTGAAAAGAAACTAGTTAGTTGGGAAGGACAGTTCTTATCGCTTTGGGGAAGATTGACCTTGGTCAACAGTGTTCTAGATGCCTTGCCAACATATATGATATCTATTTTTCCTATGCCACTAAATGTAGCCAATAATTTTGATGAAGTTGGAAGAAACATTTTTTTGGCAGGGGAATCGTCCGACAAAGAAGATCCACTTGGTTAAGTGGGACATTGTTACAAAATGCAAGAAGGAAGGTGGAATAAGTGATAAAAATTTTAGGATTCAGAAACAAAGTCTTATGCTTAAACGGCTTTGAGATTCTCAACTCCAGAACAATCATTGTGGTAGGAGACTCATATCACAGTATGGTATGGAAGATAAGTGGATCGCCAATGAAGTGAATGAACATATGGAGTCAGCTTATGGAGATCAATGAGAAACAAATGGCCTATATTGTATAATAGATCCAGCATCCAGGTAGGAGATGACGAAAAACATCCTTCTGGGATGATGTATAATCCACCAAGTTTCGAACCTTGGACTACTGGCTCTTGTGGATTTTTTATTTTTTGAAAAGTATCTTATCAGAAACACAAGTAAATTCCATCAGATCTCATAAATCGCAGCACCAAAAATTGCACTAGGTATCGGAAATAGACAAAATACTAGAAACACTACCTCAAAAATTGTATCACAAACCAAAAAATAGACCAAAAACAGCAGAATCTGCACCCCCGAATGTATGTTCCCGCTAAATAATTTTTTTCACTGTTCAGTTTAATCCAATAGCTAGAGTTTGTTAAAACTTTACCAAGACAAAAATGCTTACTTTTGGCAAATTGCTCATTTCAGACCAAGCCCATAACACGAGACATTTTTGTCATGTTGTCTTTTTCTTTTCTTATGTTGAAAAATGAATAAATTCAGAGGTTCAGATTAAAAAATTTGTGTTCTGTAATTTATTTATTTATTAGAAAAGGTTTTTAATGACAGGAGATTATTTTAAAATGACAGTGTTTTGGACAGAAGATCTGGTGGTGCTGAGTAACTTTTACATATAGTCTGAAACAATTGTCCCCTTTCTCATATATGCTTAGACAGAATATTGTGTGAACCTTGTTCCAATAGCGAGACTATACTCAGCAGTCCAGCCTTGATCACCTAATTATTGGGAAGGGATATTTGACTAGTTCACTGAAGGATGGTCATTTGGTTCTGTAATCCTGTATTAGTGGAACTGTAGATTGCTTAGAACTTGTGAACCACCCTATACTACTTGGATATGATGTACACTGTTGGAATCTGTGAAAAACAGTTGTATCTCTTCTCTTCAACTGTTTGTAAAGTGTGATCTTTTGTGTTTATTGCAGGACTATTCCATTTGCATGGAATCTTATAACAGCTGGTTACACTGAACAAACAGTGTATGGGGTATGCTTCTTTGGCATTAAGCATTAACTAATTTTGTTGGTTCTATCTTACATTTCACAGCTGCCTTAAAGAGAAGAAACCTGAGGCTCACACTTTCAATACTTCATCATATATATATATTGAAGTGTTCAAGTGTGTAACTATCTCATCTAAAAGTTTTAACTATTATAGGGACTAGGGAGTATACTTTTATGGTCTAATTAAATGTTCAACTTTATTCTTTGTATCATTCTCCTTGACATCACCTATTATGTCCAGGCAATCATCAGCACTATTGGACTTCTTTTCTTGGGGAAGCTGCTTGAGCCCATCTGGGGTTCTAGGGAATTCTTAAAGTTCATCTTTATTGTCAACTTTTTGACATCTGTCTTTGTTTTCATCACAGCCATATCATTGTACTACGTAACAAGACTGGAAATTTATCTGTAAGTTGCATGGACTTTATACTATCAGTGAATTACTTTGCTTGCCCGGTTACTTCCTCTTCTCGTAATTATTTTATTACTTTAGGATTAAGGATTTAGTGACTCAGTGGTAGTTTTCCAAGGAATCAGACTTGCTTATTTTATTTTTCGTTTTCTTATACTTATGGATTCCTTACATGCACAATGTGACGCTTTACTGTATTCTATCTTTAATGGAAGTATTGCATAACTCCTGATTATACGGCTCTGCCGATTCTTATTTGTTAGCTATATGCCCATTTCCGGCTTCCAAGGAGTTCTTTCTGGTTTCTTAGTTGGTGTCAAGCAAATCATGCCCGACCAGGAGTTGTCTATTTTGAAACTGAAAGCAAAGGTACAAGCACTGGAATTACCAATTAATTTGAAAGGCATCTCCAGACACTAATCTCTCAAATTAAATTGTGCTCTAACATCAGTTGTGATTGCTGTTTTGAACTCTTTGCAGTGGTTGCCTTCCCTTGCATTGTTGTTCTCAATTGCTATAAGCTTTTTTACAGCAGATTCAGTATCTTACCTTCCAACAATAGTATTTGGGACATATTTAGGCTGGATTTACCTAAGATATTGGCAGAAGAAACCAGAGACAAAACTAAAGGGTGACCCAAGTGATGAATTTTCCTTCTCTTCTTTCTTCCCTGAATTTTTGAGGTATTTTCGGATCTTCTCTCTTGCTATGAACTACTTGTCTTAACTAGTTTGTGTTCCCACAGTGACATCTCGTTTGGTGTAATGCAGACCAGTAATTGATCCAATTGCAACAATATTTGAACGGATGCTTTGTGGTAGAAGATCTGAGACTTCTAATGAGGAAAGGGGCTATACTCTAGGTGGTTCCACATTGCCTGGTTCTGATCCCATTGAAGCATCGAGGAGGAGGTATATAAAACTTTGTACTAAATGTTGCTGTGCTTTACAAAATTTCCCAAAGCTGATGTTTATCATGGTTAATATGTGCTCATATTCTAGACTATTCAGCTCTTTTTGTTTGAACATGTATACCCCCCCCCCCCCAATCAGAGAAGATAGACAATCTAGAAAAAAAAATTCCCTTGAAGATAAGTTGTCAGTTCAATAACAATGCATTCACGCCCTTATCATTCATGAGAATGATCGGGGTAATACGTTAATGAATAATTCAATGATATCCTGTCATGAATTGTGATAGTGATGTGTTTCCTATAGGTGATAAAGCTTTAGTTAACAAAATCTTCTCTTTTATTTTATATTTATATGTTTTTGGTTATATGGGTCTTTGGGAAACAACCTCTCTACCTCCTCAAGGTAAGGGTAAGGTCTACGTACACTCTACCCTGCCCAGACTCCATGTAGTGTGATTTCCCTGGGTATGTTGTTGTATGGAAGAGTTTCTAATGTTCTTTTTGACAATTGTCCATATCTAAATATTAACATCTACTTAATTTTTGGCTTGTTCATGAAGAGTACTATCCTGTATGCAGTTGACCCTAGATGAGAAAACTATACTCTTGTCATTTATTTGAGATTTTCTAATATTTATTTATTATTGTTGGGCTGGGATATAACCATGCTGCAGATCCTTTATTGGGTGCCCAAGCTTTAGCCCTCAGCCCAGATATTATTTCTTTTCTTTAGCCCACTGATTTTATTAAGTCGGTGTAGAGGGTCGGATCCTCTTGACTTGGTTCGTGTTAACACACATCACATGTATGACATTGTCAAATGCGAGTTTATTCTTTTAGTGCTCCAATCTGAAGTGAGTGAAGAACACTCAGCAACCAATGAATGAGTTGTTTTGGATGCATGGACAAGTGAATATTACATTCCATTTAACTAGAGCTCCTATAAAAGGAATTTTTGAGAAATTAGGATTGTTTATTCCAGTCCATTGAAGGATATTTGTTGTGATTCTTTTCGGCTTGCATGGTGATATTGTATATTTTGACGTATAAATTGCAGGGAAAGAGGTGCGAGAGCACTTGAAGAAAGATTGGCAGCTGAGCTTTTGGCTTCTGGAAAGAAGGGTGAAGAATCAGAACGAGGTGTGAATGATAATGTGTAGAAGTTGGTCTATAATATATCATATCTAACGCGTTTTCTTGTGCGATAGAAACTAGAAGATTGTGCACATTTTTGGCTGTGTACTCTTTTGGATTCTCTTCGGTAATGTACATTTTTCTCGTTTCTAATTTCCACCACCTTTAATATATGTCGCCATTTTTGTTCAAATATCCAATGAAGAAGATCTGAACTAAGAACACAAGACAGAAAATGAAATTCTCTACTGTATGGAAGAATGAAGAATGTATCTTTACCATAAGCTATATAAAGGAAAAAAGATTACTAAAAGTGCATTACATTAAACTATAGATGTATTGAGATAACTATATATTCACAAGGCTTGAACTCTTCCGATCCATTTCTATTATAGAAGATGAAGCAGCCTAATAACGCAGAGTTGAGTTGAAGGACCCGTTTGGCTCCAAAAATACTTAGGAAAACATTTGGGGAGAAGGTTGGAAAAACTTTGAGAAGTGGTGTTTGGTCATATATTTGTCAAGTATCCCAAGTTTCCAAATGATGGGAAAAAAAACTGGTTATTTGAGTCAAGTTCAAATATTCGGGAATTTTAAAAAATTCAAAAATTATCTCATACTTTAATATTTAAAAAAAAAAACACCCGTTATTTATTAGTTCCAATTTATATTTGTTACTATCTTCTTCAGTAAAGTTTGAGTTCTAATTTGAGTGATGAAATTAAGAAAAATGAACAATTTGTGTTTAATGAGTTACTATAACTGAATCATTGACAAGTTTGAGTATGAGATTAATATACTGTCTTGCCTTTTAATTTATTTATTTTCAAAACTAGCCTTACTCTTTCATGAAAAGTTGTGACGATTCTAAAATATTGTGACTTTATGAAGAGTTGTATAATTTTTATGAAAAATTGAGATTTCTAATTGTGACTTTTATGAAATGTTGTGACCTTCCAAAGGGTTATAACTTTTTCAAAGAGTTGTGACTTTTCCGATAAGGCATAATAAACATTTGTTCATGTTACTCTTTTTATTGTCAAATATAGACATTTCCTCTCATTTTAAAACAACGAAAATTCTACATTACTTCTTCTTCTTCTTCTTCTTCTTCTTCTGCTTCTTTTGCGCAATTAAATATTTGTGTACTTCGTTCCTGGCATATTGACACCATTATTTTTGTATTAATACACCGGTGAATAGAATCGTTCTATCCTGAGAAGATCTATTCCTTTAAACTCAGGTACTAGAGGAGAATAATTTCCTTAAGAGGACACTATGCATTCAATGGGCTCAATTTTTCCCTTTATGTTCATTTTGTTGTTACAGATCCTCATATGTTTTTTTACAGTCATTAAATTATACTTATGATATTAATTATTATTTTAGTACATGTTTTAAACTTTGTTATTTATATTTTTGCAAAATTATTGTTATAATTATTTGTTGGTACAAATTATATAGCACATTAAATTGAGTATTCACACAAGTTTTCTCTATTGGAATTGTTGAAGGTATAATGAAAATTATTCCTTGAAGACAACATTCAAATTTGGTATGTCACTATAAGAACATAAAAACCTTAAAAACGTTATCGCACCTTGATGTGTGAAGTGAACTAGAAAAAGAAAACAAGAGTTAATTAACTTTTGAAATTGCTTCAAGGATGTGTCAACCTATAGAGGACTATGACTAGACTAGAGTCTCTATTATTTCCAAAGACAAAATGGATTGCAAGTTATAAATATTTTTCTTGAAGTAATAAATCTGCTTCTCAATACTACGATTGGAATAGAATTGTAGTTTCAAATTAAACTTCATTACTCTGATATGTTAATTTTTTTTTATGTTTTTTGTAATATTTTGTCTTTTCAAGTATATATATAAGAACTTGAATTGTTGTCCACTATGATATATTCTTCTTTAGTTTTTCATTTTGACAAATATTTATGATACATTTAAATGGACAAGTTTAAAAAGATGCATGTAATGCAAAATGTAAGGGCTGAAATTTCAGTACGTAAGAATTAGAATTTTTTGTCACTTTTTTAGCCCTTTAAAATTTATAGCAATTATTAACTTATTAGAAAATTTAATGTCTGAGGCAGATATGCATTTGATTTCCCAAAAATATCAATTAGTAACACTTTCAGGAGCAAAAGAATAAATTATAAAATCAAATTAAAGATATTTCATGTTATTAAATTTTTTTATGCGAGGCGCGGGTAATTTTCTTATTATATATATAAAAGAGAACCACATATCCGCCTATGTGACGCCACCACAGATAAGGATTGCCTTTTAATTTATTTTATTTTCAAAACTAGTCTTCGTCTTTCATGAAAAGTTATGACTTTTATGAAAAGTTGCGACTTATATGAAAGGTTGTGACCTTTCCGACAAGACACAATAAAGATTTGTTCACACTATTTTTTGTTGTCTATAAATAGAGAAATTTCCTCTCATTTTAAAACCAAAAAAAATTGACTTCTTCTTCTAGTCAATTAAATAACTGAGTACTTTGCTCCTGACATCATTTTTTGTATAAATACACTGATGAATAGAAATGTTCTTTCCTGAGAGGATCTATTCCTTTAAATCTCGGGTACTAGAGGGGAATAATTTCCTTAAGGAGACACTTTACATTCAGTGAGCTCAATTTTTTCCATTATGTTTCATTCTATTATTATAGATCCTGGTATGTTATTACTGTCATTAATTTATGCTTATATTATTAATTGTTATTTTGAGTGCATACTTTAAATTTTTTTGTTTAATTTCTGCAATATTATTGTTACAAGTATTTGTTAGTACATATTAAATAACAAAAGTTAATTGAGTATTCAAGCAAGTTTTATCTACTGAAATTGTTGAAGGTAAAATACAAAAAAAAAAAAAACTCTTACAAATCTTTAATTTGTTCATTAACAAGGTCATTTCTTCACATACAAGGATGAGATTTTGTGTTCTTTAGAAAATGCTCTGAGAATTAATAATTTTACATGCCCATATTTTCTATTTTTATGTTGTTATTTATTTTTAGTAGATTTTATCAATGGATACTTTAAGGATTGAAAGTTGATTTTACTGTTACTCAATTTTCTGAGGTATGTTATTTTAAAACATGAGAGCTTTTCTGGTAGTATAATTTGTTATCATCATTGAATATCTCATAGTTTATTTCATTTAATGTGTGTTTTTTCTCGTTGTTCTGTTGTCTCCTTAAAATTGTATTGATTATTTTTCGTCTTGTATGTATATGATCTCACATGAACAAAACCTTTGTCCTTTTAATATTTTATTTCCTTCTCATGCAGCTCTACTAAATATTTTTGGTGTATGACTACTTTCAGCAACCTTTATTTGAAGAATATGAAACAAAAGCTGCTCTACATAAAAAAATATCTCAAGCTACAAAAGATATGTCTATTAACATAAACTTGGTGTCCTTTATGTCCCAAGTCATTGCTGAACATTCGAGTTACCTAGGTTAGACTCAATTTTAATTTTTTAATATTTGAGAATATTTCTTACAACATGAATCTAAGATCTAACGTTTTGATCTACTTGTCTTTCATAATGCAACAACTATACATACATATTTCTGAAAAAATCGTAAGGTGCATTGATGAGGCATCTAGAAGGGCCTTCAGAAAGTAATTCAATGAAGAATGAATTTCTAAAAGGATCAACAGTATTATTTTGTTGTTTTCAATTTATTTTTCTTTCTTCTTTTAAATTTTGTTAGAGTAACAAAGTTACAATAATGAAAAGTGGTAAACGTTTGACCTCAGACAAGTAGATTGTCTCTAAAAACTTATTTATGTTGTTTGTGGTGTACATTTTTAATGGTCTTAACTTATTTAAACTAATATTCCCTCCGTTTCACAAAGAATGACATGGTTTGACTTGACACGGAATTTAAGAGTATAAAGAAGACTTTTGTATCTTGTGTACCAAAATTAAAGTTAGATTAAATGTACAAAATTGTCATTTGATCTTGTGGTCTTAAACATGCCACGTGAAAAGCTGAAATTGAAATGTTATAAAAAAAAAAGAGGACATTCTTTTTTAAACAGACTAAAGAGGAAAGGAGGTCATATTTTTTGAAACAGAAGGAGTATTGATGATCAAAAACTTTTATACAATTTATTTTTAACAAGGAGTTATTCTAACCATAAAATTATCAATTCTATATTTTTCATTTACAAAAAAGTAGAAAAAGAATATGTTTAATTGCTACATCAAAACATCACTCAGTTTAAACAAGACAATTATATCATCAAACATATATTATGATAAATTATGTAAAAGATAAAAATGATTAGATATCAGATATTTTTAATCATTCATTATACTTGAAATTCTTGAGATATGTGATAATGCCAAATCATTTTATTTCTGTAGAAATGTTCTTAAAACCTACTAAAAAAAAATTCTTCTTATAACAGTCGATTATTTGAAAGGTTGTTCAAAAACATAGAAAGACTATTTATACCCGCGTGAAGCATGGACAAATACCTAGTTTTTAATAATTTTTAAAACTTATGGGTATAAATCAAAATTTTTAAAATATGAAAATATTTTTGAAAAAAATTTGAGGCCAAACACGTAATAAAACTTCACCAAATATGATTTGCCAAGAATATTTGAAAACTTGGGGTCAAACCTAGCTTATTATCTTGCATCATCATTATTTGATTGACAAGATTTCACAAACCTTTAGTCGAAGTTGAGTCACTACAAGAACCTAACTAATGAGGAATAACATGTTAATGGACCTAATGATTCTCCAATGGTTCCCTCTCGAGCAAGAGTGGGGATGTTTGATGCTATGCTTCTTTTGATATTATTGAATTATTTCAATTCGAATGCCTTTTATCAAATGAAAGGATATGGATCAAACTATGCTCAAGACTTGCGAAATGAAAGCAACATTATCAGTCTAGCATATACATACTCATTATATTAGTATGACATTGTGAATAGATGTTCTAAAGTAACTCTACTATAACTTTATACTCCCTCCTTTTAATTTGTTTGTTTGACTCTTCACAAAATTTAAGAGAATAGAAGATTATTAAATTTTGTCATGAGAAAATAGTCAGATACCCCCTCAACCTATTACTCGATTTTTCAATTATACGCTTATATTTTACGAGGGTTCTATTAACCCCCCCCAGAGTATGACAC